CTAGCTGGTACCCGAACTAAAATATCTGTGTAGGTGCTACTATCCCAGAACTTCAGGATGAATGGGGATATGCCTCATGTTCCCATCACTACTCTTGCAGGGATTGCTAGTCTTACAGACCGTAAGTACTCTTCTTTTTTTTTTTGTCTTTGCTATATTCCCTTCTACCACTTTGGTAAATACCTGTATTTTCAAAATACTAAAAATAGTTTTATTTTTTAAGTTCTTAAAAGAAAATCTGTTAAAAATCAGATTTGATATTAAAATGTTTTTTGCCCTTGCTAGAATTTTAAAAATACTTCAAACAAAATATGCTAATTTAAACATGAAATTAAATGTCATTTAAAAAAAGCCCTTAAGTAAACTCGAAACATAAAATAAAGCAATTCATTGTTTGTTCAGAATATCATTCAGTAACATATCTGGGAATCCCACAAATAAAGAAAAACATATAAATGATAAAATACTTCTCTAAAACATACATATCATCATCTTTACTGGAGAGAGAGAGAGAGAGAGAGAGACAGAGAGAGAGAGAGAGATGATTAACCTGATGTGATTAGCCTGATGTTCAGCTAGAGAGTTGTGGAACATGCTGAATATACTTAGTTCCTTAGTTTTGGGAAAAGTACAAAAACGTTGCTCTAATTAATAGGCTCAAAAATGTCTGCTAGAATGGAAATAAGCAGCTTGAACCTATGAGACTTCTTTCTTGGCTGTTTAGCCTACAAAAAGGTGTGGGTACTGTCTAAATATGTCAGGAAGACAAAATGCAAGGAAAGAAAAAGAACTGTTTACATTAAAAGCTGATGATAGCACAAATCCAAATGGTTATCATCTGGCCAAAAAAAAAATTCTAATGGAAACTAAGAGGAAATTTATCATTACTATAATGAAGTCCTAAAATAACTATTCCAATAAGAGAAGTTGGTACCAAAATGCATCTTTTTTATAAAGTGTAAACAGGAGGTGATAGCTCCATTGTCTGTTTGAGGATAATTGGACTCAGTGACCCAAATGCTTATTCTGAGCTCTTGTTTTTATTATTATACTGTTGAAATTTGGAGACTTTCCAAGAGACACTAAAAGTATATACCTAGCAATTGAATTTAATTGCCTATAGTAAAAAGAAAAGCAAGCATATTTTTTGGGGGAAACACTTCATGTCTTTTTGATAATTTCAAGGCACATTCAAGGTAATCTAATGCAAGTAATGAAAACTAGCTATTTTAACATATTATACACTTTTTTCCAATTGCGGTTTATTTATAAATGCAGTAATAATATACATTGTGTGAGGAGAGAAAAATACTGGAATTCTCCCCCTTCCCTATTTTTTTTAAAAAAAAAATTTCAAAATATTCTGAAGCTATTTCTGATGTAATTGGCCTGGGAACGTGAAGTCAGAGTCAGCTTGTTTTCATGGATCCATGAAAGTGGGTTGTTTAGGTTTTTTGGTGGTGGGTTTTGGGGTTTTTTTGTGTTTTAAATCTACCCTCACCATACAAAGTGGGAACAGCAATTAAATCTGAAGGTCAGAATAGAAAACATTTCCTTCCTTGCCTTTATCCATGCTTTCAGCTCCAGAAGATAACTGCCATAACATTAAATAACTTAATATTCTGGAATGTTTAAAAGTATGTTTTTATTTGTAATACTTGCCTTAGCACAGTTAAATGTTTACAGTAATATAGGAATATAACTTATGGACTTGACTGCATTATTTTGTGTAAAACAGAGTCCAGCCTTTGTGTGTGTGTGTGTGTGTGTGTGTTCATGATTTAAAAAAAATCCAGAAATCTTTCCTATATTTCAAATGTAGTTGTCAGGTTTTCTTTATTAATCAAATGAGGGAGTAAGAAGGTGTCTGTCTTTGTATGCTCATGTTGCATGAAATGATTCTGAACTCCTTTCTGTTTTCTGATAACAGTTTTGAACCAGCTGCCTCTTCCATCACCTTTGCCTGCTACAACAACAAAAAGCCTGCTTTTCAATGGACGAATAGCTGAAGAGGTGAACTGCCTTCTGGCTTGCAGGGATGAAAATCTGGTTTCACAGCTCATCCACAGTCTCAATCAGGTGTCAACAGATCACATGTATGTATTTTGAACTTTAACTATATAAGATCACCATCCTTATTACTTGAAATTAAAGTGAACTGAATTGAGAAGGGTGTTTGTGAGAATCTGAAAATTAGAACATGTGAGATTTTTTATTAGGCTAGCTTAGCAAATTACTGCTGTATAAGAATCAGTTGTTTCAGTCAGTCCTTATGCATGGCTACTTTTATTTTAATAGATCTGCTGCTTGTTCCATTCTTGCTAGTTAGGAGTGCAAACTGTATGGTATTGATTGTACAATAGTGATTTGTGTTCCACTTTTGTTAATAATGTCCATCAACAAATTATATACCCAGTATTCCACAAAAAGATAATTTTTTGAGACACCCATGCAAGATCTATGTCACTTCTGATTAGATATTGAACTTAAATATTTTAAAAATTGAACTAGCAAGTATCTTTTTGTTTATATATTTTGTTTTTTTTAATTTTTCACTGGTGTCCTTTGAATTGTCTTATGTTGATAGCCCTGTCTTTTTCCTACATGTTCCAATCTATTATTTTGATCAAATGGAAGTAGCTCTTAAAAGCTGTCAATGCAATCAATAAGTGAAAGTACGGATGCTTTTATAGGAAATCCATGACGTTTTTGATGGTTCAAAGGAAATCCTGTGATGTCAAAGATATGCTGATTTCCCTTTTTAAAATAAAAGATTCTCAGTGTTGGGCTGCAA